TAAATATGAATAGGAAATAAAATAATTTTACACCGAATGAAAAAGAGCACAGATATAACTAAAACAATAAAAATTCGATAGTTGCAATATTTCGGTCATGTATTGTGACATCCAAATAGGTATAATCTTCTACACCTCATAATACAGGGCAAGATTACGGGAAGAAGCCCAGGCCGAAAAAGAGCATCCTGGCTCCGAAATCTCCGACAGTGGTATCAAGAGACTAATCCCCTAATCTGTTTCGAGCTGCCTTAAACAAAATTATGACTACCAATATGATCGCCACGTTTGCCAAAGAAGATAGAAAACTTTACAGTGTTTTGTTTGTTTCTCTTATATGATCACTCTTTATACACTTAGTCGATTTCATCTTTTAGTAGCTACTAAAATTTAAAGCAAAGGAATTTTTAATATCGCTAGTTACTGACCTAATAGGCTTTCCGTCGTTGATTCTGACGCATCTTGTATATTATGGTAGGCACTAAATCGTGTCGAAGATAATGGACCGTCTAAATTTCGTCTCAACTTGAGTACATTCTTACAGCAAAAGTTTATGCTAAGATTAACGTTAAAACTTTTTTACAGAGTTATTTTTTATTATATGAATAGATACTTTGGTTATTTTTTTTTAAACTTTTAGTTTTGCATGATGAGAAATTATAAATCCAACCCTGCTTTTATCAATATAACACCTTAAAAGACACCTTATATAAACACGAATAATAGATATAAACATTAACATTTCCTATTAATTATTTTACATAGGGTTGGACTTACAATACCAATTATTTTGCAAAATAATCATACTAAAGGTTAGATCAAATCATTCCGTTAAGCAATATATTCCTATAAAAGCTATCCTGTCACTTTACTGTTACAATATTAATACAAAAGTTAGAGTTAAAGAAAAAGTTAAAATATTCAATTTGTATGAGATTTACTTCAGTGAAATGAGCTGTGATTGGAGCATCCCAAATGTAAGGTGTAAAGACAAATTTCACAATGGATTACCTAAGTCTGACGTCATAATGGGCTGGGCTTTTAACAACCTTTTCGAACAAATCTAATTTGTATGTATTTGTTCCAAAAGAAATTGAAAATATTGATTTTTTTAATCGTTTGAAGAATAAGGACTTTTGGTTATGAACATTCATTCTGTGCGATTGGCATTATTTGTTGTTCGTGAATTTGTGAGGTAAGAATATTAAAGTATTAAGATATTTACTAGGAATGTCCATATTTTAAGGTTATGTTACTGTATGATTAAAACTTTATTAATTATTTTTTTCTGTATTTCAAGGTATTTTATTGTTTTTAACAGAGCTATTTCAAAACAAGTCAATAAATCATTGAATTTATTTACGAAGTTGAAAAATGTTTACATTAATGTTTTATTCTTTTTTTCGTTGCCAGTGATTTTATCCTGTAAATACTAAAGATACTCGGTTTGTCGTAGTTTAAGTGGTAATATAACATGCTCTGAAAACCTTTCTATCAAATTGCAATAATGAAAGTTTAAAAAAATGTTTTTTGAATGGTGTAATAGTTCCTGAATTTATTTTTTAGATCTAGGCATATATTGGCTAGTAAACATGCGTTGAAAATATCCAGTATTACTGATTTTCAGTAATGACAACAAAACTACTATTTACTATACTCAGATGCAAAAAAAACAGAGAAAATTTTGGTCAAATTCAAAGTATTTCAATTTTTTTATTTTAAGCCCTAATTTTTCTGATAAAATTTTATATTTGACTTATTGTACGGGGTTAATTAAAATGTGAAACCCCCTCCCCGCGTTAGCCTTGGAGGGGGTTCGGTGATGGTATGGGCAGGAATATCCCTAGAGGCGCACACTGAGTTAGTATTTATAAAGGGGTCCTCTAATGCACACCGATATATTGAGGAAATTTTAGCGAATCACGTAGTACACTTTTCTCAATATAACGGAGGTTACGAAGTCGCCTCAGGAATCAATTAACGAACCTCGCTTGGCTCTAGAAGAGGAATGGCAAAATATCCAGGAAGATGATATTCGCAACCTCATACACAGCATGAGCTGACATGTACAGGCAGTTATAGAGGCTATGGGAGGCAATACAAAGTATCAGACAAACCTTAGATTTACAAAACCTATCAGCAACAGTGTCCCTCTCTATGGTATTCAGTTGTGCACATGTTCGTGAAGTGTTAACACAAGCTGTGACCATTTTGTAATTTTTGAGGTCCAAAGTAAGTATTATTCACCGCTGTTTCGTCTTATTACAAATTATCAATTTGATTGTAGTAAATAATCATCTCTATCTATATAACGAATTTTACAGCTGTCGCCGCCTTCCTTCTTTCAGCCAACGTTTCCAGTCCTTTCGTTCTGCCATTCCCATCTCTAAGGTCTCGTATTTCCATGGCCTCGTCCACTTCATCCCTCCATGATCTTCGGGTCTACCTCTTTTCCTCCTTCCTATTGGCTCCAATCTGAAATCTTGCTATCCACCTTGTATAATCTGTTCTTCTCACATGTCCATACCAAATTAAACGTTTTTCTTCGATGTAGCTGAGTATGTCTTGTTCTACTGCCATTCTTTGTTTTATCTCCTCATTTCTGATACGATCTATTTATAAATCATGTTAGGGTGATATAAGTCGTAATTAAAACTACCTAATCCACTAATCAAACCGTTGTATTTGTTGAGGCTAACGACTTATTCGACTGCTTTTATACCTGGAGTCCCCCTGTTGTACCTGGGGGCCGTCCCCAGGTACATTATTAAAAGTATTAGTACCAATGTTTTGTTTCGGGAGCTCAATTATGCCAAGGAGTAAAGAAAAGAAGAGAAGACCGGGACCTTTAAAAGTCAATGTAGAAAATGCTGTTCGTGAAGTTTTAAATTCAAGTCTTTTAATTCGTGCCGCAGCGAGGCAATTTGGAATTGGAAAGTCTGCATTAGCAAGACACATTAAAAATTTAAAAACATCAGGTCAAAACAATTTTATATACAGTCCGAATTAAGTCAAGCAAGTTTTTAAAGGACAAAGGCAAATAGGAGGAATGACATCTGGAGAAAGAGGTGTCCTAGATACTGTGATATGTTGTATTAATGCTGCGGGAAATACTGTGCCGCCTTTATTTGTGTTTCCGAGAGTGAATTTTAAAAGTCACATGTCGAAAGGGGCACCTGGAGCAATAGGAGCTGCAAATCCGAGTGGATGGTCCAATAAAGATGTATTTTTGAAATTCCTAGAACATTTCATATCACATGTTAAACCTACTTTCAGGATAAGGTTATTTTATTGTTAGATAACCATGAAAGCTATTCGAAGACGTTCGGGAGTCATTTTAGTTACTTTTTATCCCCATACATCACACCGATTGCAACCTCTCGATTTATCTATTTTTGGACTCTTTAAGTCTTTCTACAATAATGCAATGACTAATTTTTATGAGTTCTCCCTGGTAACGCAGGGAAACCAGTTACCATTTACGACATAGCAGAGTTGGAAAATACGGCATACTTGAAGGCATTTAGTCCAAACAACATAACCAAGGGCTTTCAAGTATCAGATCTATACCCCTTAAACAGTGATTTTTTACTGAATAAGACTTTTTGCCATCCAAGAGGATCCATATTTACACAACCCTTCCTGTTTATTCTGACCCCGATCCACCGCATTGTGATGCTTTCGAAACAGACCCCAAGCCTTCATGTTCTGGTTTAACGTCATCTTCCACACCAGAAGCTAAGTTGAATTTTCAAGAACCAATTCCTGTTATGTCAAGTTTTATTTCTCCATATGAGGTTCGTCCCATTCCAAAAGCTTTGCTGCGCAAAGAAAACGTTTTTAAGGGGCGCAAAAAAGAAAGGTCTCGCATTCTTACCGACACCCCCAGAATTTAATGAAATAAAAGAAAATAAGAAAGACAGTATGGAGACGAAGCGCAAAAAAGTAACTACAAAAAACAAAAAAGTAAAACGTAAGTTAAATATTGAAGAAACGTCATCAGAGGAAGATCAAATTGATTTTAAGATTAGAAGTGACAGCAGTAATTGTAATGATAAATCTTTGTCAGATTTAGAAATTGATTCCATTCATTGTCTCCAGATGATCTTCAGAAAGGTGACTTCATTTGGTGCACTTAAAAGAAAAAAGCATTCAGAAGATTTAGTAGCCGCAATATCAGGAAAGGTGGACGAAACAGAGTTCCAAATAAAATAATTAAAGAACGCCCATTCCTTTACACATGGCTATACATTTACGTTGAAGATGAAAAGGAATATACAACTAAGATCAGCGATATTATACAAAAACTTCCTCAACCACGTACAACAGTTCATCCTCTCGACATCAAACACATTTATCTTTTTGTACAGGTACTTCAACTCTTGTCTTTAGGTACAACTCTTCGTGTCAGTAGGTACAACAGACCGGTTGTTCCTAGGGACACGTACATAGATACAAAAAAAGTGATAAAATGGGTAGAAATATATAAGTTGGAAAATTGGCATTTTTGAATTAGCTTTACAAAGGTATGATCAACTGTCCAGATTTTATTATTTTTTAATATCTTTATTTGTCTAATTTATAAAAATCAAATTGTAAAAATTGTCCCTAGGTACAACATGTTCCCTTAGGTTAAAAGTCCTTATTTATTTTTCAAACAATTAAAAAACCAATATTTCCAACTTCTTGTGGGACAACTACACACAAATTAGAAATGTTTGGAAAGGTTTTTAAAATCCCCGACCATTGTGACGCCAGAGCTCAGATAGTCCATTACCTACCTATTGTTCTTTTCGTTGGCAATAAGTATTCAGACATTCTCTTTTCTTCACCCATCGACCGATTTAATGGACAAAAAACTGATACTTTGCTAGAATATAATAATAATCATGAATTGAAGATAATATAATTTTAATCGGTCGATTATATAATAAATTTTAGATACATAATACGAGGACGAGGAGATTTATGAATAAGGAAATTATAAAAAGACCTTGGGCTTCAATGATAAAACATGTTAAAAAATATTTATTAAGGCAATAAAAACATGATAATAAATAAATCATGGCAACGACAAATGAGTTTATATGGAATCTCAATGAATAACAACGTAAGATCAGTTTGTAATTTAAAAAACCCTTTCGAACAACTTAGCAAATCCATTATTTTGCTTGTGATGCTTTCTCTATATAAAAGGTTCTCCGATTTACATGTTCACAAAAAGTATAAAGTCCTAAATACGTATTAGAACAGCTCGTTTTGTTGATAGTTCATGTATAAAATATAAAGTTTTAGCGGAAATTCTAGCATCTAATTTAAAACATCAACAGAATATTTGGTTACTTTATATTTTTAAACATTAACTTTTTCCATGCAAATAACATTTTGGCAAGTTGTAAAAGGTTGAGACTATTTAGTCTTTAAACAAACAGTATTTAGATATATAATTGTCATCGAACGTTCCACAACTCAGAAGGATAAGGCTGCCAGTGCCATACGATTATATTCATTATAAGTAATTTTTTGTTTAATTTCTTGGTATATAATTTGAAAAACTATATATTTTAGTAACAAGTCAAAATGTATTGATAATAAAAACAAAGCATAACGAACGACTAAATAAAAGAACTAATCTAAATTTGGGTACTTAATATTTACAACTAAAATTAATGTTGTCCGCATGATTCGTTCATAATATCTTTTTTCTTTCAATAAATGACACAATTTCAACTGCACACAACCACGCATACATTCTATCGATTTAAAATATTTTAAAAAGTAATTAAAAGTTTTTAATGTACGTTATATACTATATGTACAAAATGGAAAAAAACTTTAATATCAGGAAGATTTTTAACACATTACAAATTCAGTACCTTTTGTTTCTATCTAACTAAATTAAATGCTCTTTAAATCACTAGCATATAATATACATATATGGCCTAATCTCACTTCTTGAAGTGCAGTTGAAGTTAACTATAAACAAAGTATTTTTACAAATGGCAAGTAAAAGAAGAGTAACGTGCACAAAAACATCTAAATAAATATAAGGGGTTGTTCATGATTTCTGTTAACCGGTGATTCATGGAAGTGGTACATCCACTCTGACATAATTTACTGGAAAATAACCTGTACGTCCGTTGACGCTTCCCTCAAACCAGTTCTCGTCGATTTTGTTCATGAGCATTATGACTTCGTTTTCCTAAAAAATAAATTCAATATTAAGTGATAAATCTTTTGGTATTTATAATACTGATACTGGTAATACTCCAATTTAGAAAGAGGTATAGTCAAGTCCCAGTCAGGCGGTCAAATATTTGATCAAACTAGTTTGAGCGAACTGACGTAATGACGTCATATTTACAGTTTGTTCAAATTTTAAAAATCTACCTGTCACACGATCATTCAAATTTAATCAAATTTACGTATGTCAAGGAAATTAATTGTCTTTTTTGCTTATTTCATGGCCTGGAATCTTATATGAATGACTTGGTTCATTTGAAATAGCCCACAAGAGACGCTAAAGGGTATGTATGTAAGGGTGTTTCATTCGAATTTGCCGCCAAAAGATGATTAGTATTGACCCCAGCTGCAAGGGGTCCTAATGAACGAAATTTATACATTGAGTTTGCCTATCTATTTCTACTATTATATTATTTATCTATGACTTATTTTATTAGTTGCTTGGGCTTTATTTACGATTCTAATTTTTCTTATACACAACGAAAATAAATAGGGTTAAAGGATTTTTATAATAATATGGATGTTTGACATTATATACATAGCTTCTTTCTCGGTATAAATCAATTATGTAGAAACTTATTCCTGGCTGCTAGATATTTTAAGTTTTTATTTTTATTTTATGCCACTTTTATTTATACCACTGCCTGATAGTACGAAAAATATATACACCATTCATAGACAGGAACCACACAGACATCAACAAAGAATACATAGGAAAAATAGAAAGAACTACGTACACATTATACAATCTAGATAACGAGAGTACACAGTTAATTTACTCCTGGAGACAAACACAAAACTACAGGAATAACAAAGATCCACGCCGGATGAATACGAACATATAAAAAACTGCATGAAAGAACGCAGCGCTAGAAGAAGTGGAAGAAAAGACGGACGGGAGACGAACAAACAAAACAACAATATAAAAACTTGAATAAAGAAGTCAAACGAGAAGTGGTTAAAAAGAAAAAGAGTGCATGGGAACAAAAATGCCAATACCTAGACAACCCCATAGGAGAGACAAAGAGCTCTGAAACCTGGAGAACTATAAAAACGATGAGAACAACGGCAATAATAAAAAGAATACCAGAGAACACATGGGTAGAGCATTTTGAGAACTTATTAACAGATAGAAGAGAAATATTTAAACAGACAAATGAAATACGTGGAAGTAGAAAGAAGAATAGAAATATCAACAGAATAAGTGAAAGGAGCAGTTAAGGGAATGAAATTAAGAAAATCTCCAGGTCCAGGCGGAATACATCCAGAGTTGATTAGGTGTGAATCATCAAAACTATTTGAAATGATCCGAAAATTATTCGAAAGATGCTTAAATGGAGAAGAAGTTCCAGAAGAATGGAGACAATCGTATATCTCTCCAATACACAAGAAAGGCACAAAAACGGATCCTAAAAGCTATAGAGGGATCGCAGTGATTGCTACTATAGGCCGACTGTATTCAAAAGTACTACGAAACCTGATAGAAAATGATATTAAAGACAAACAACCCGAAGAACAAGCGGTAGTATGGATAATATTTTCACATTAAAAATTGCAATTGAAAAACGAGTGCAGAGAAATAGAGAAACCCATATAGCTTTAATAGATTTGGAAAAAAGCATATGACAGTGTGCCGATCTCCCAACTATGGATAGAAATGGTAACTTGAAAATAAATCTAATTCTTATTAACACCACTTAAAAATAGTACGAACAAAACTTAAAAATAATTAAAATGGACAAGAAATCACCTCTCCTTTTCAAACAACAAAGGGACTAAGACAAGGCTGCTGTCTGTTACCCACCTTATTTAAAATCTATTTGGACAGATCCTTGTAAATCCAGTAGATCCAGTAAAATGGTAAAAAAATGTAGAAACATGGGAATAACGGTGGAAGAAAACACGCTATATACACTTTTCTTTGCGGAGGACCAGGTAGTAATTGCCGAAGACATCTACGATCTTAGCTATATGGTAAGAAAACTGCAAGAAGAATATGAGGTGGCAGGTCTAAACATGGATATGACAAAATGTGAATATCTCTCAGTGGGAGCAGATGAAATATGTGACCTAGTTTTGGAAGACGACAAAATCAAAAGCGTGCAATCCTGCAAATTTTGGGGGTCATTTTCAACAAGAAAGGAAATAGCGCAGATGAAATCAGGGAAAGAATAAACAAGGGCAGAGCAGGGACCCGTGCCTTAAACTCTCTTCTCTGACAAAAAACAATTCGACGAGAAACCAAAAAACACATTTACGGTAGTATAGTCCAAAAGTCCACGGTCAACCAAAGAAAAAAAGAAAATTAATTTAAATACATTTTGTCTAACTGCTTGTTGTCATTTGACTTTAGATATTTTTCGACCCATCAAAATTAAAGTTTGATCAAACTAACCTTCAAAATATTAGATCCTCTATTTTTAGAGGATTTGATCAAACTAAAAATGTGACGTCATATGCTGTTAATTTTTTGGTTTGGTCAAACTAGTTGATCAAATATTTGACCGTTTGACACGGACTTCAGACCCTACTTTTTAAAGAGGTAAATGTGGGTATACTTGACGGTGTACTAGTAGTTGACATTATTAATTTTGCTTTTTCTCATGTACTTGACATTTAGTAGTTCCATGACATGACACTTGAACGTTGACAGATGTCATGGGACATTACTCTCAATATAAGTAACGGATATAAGTTATGTAGGTATAGGTTACTACACACATGTTTTAATTAGTGAAATAAAGAAATCTAATATACATTCAACACAATTTTCATTGCGTTACAAGTAAATACAAGGAAATACAAATTTAAAGCCAGTATACATACATAACCTATCTGCAGCGTGGTGACTCCGGTGAAAGTTTACAAATAATCTACATACATAATTGAAATGCTGTCTAATTTACAATTACATATACATTTAAAAGATGACTGATATTACAATCCATTCAGTTCACACCGTATTTAGCATTGAAACTTACGATACATTCAAGAATTTTGACCGGTGGTTACAATGCCTTCAGAGTGCATTCAATGTCTTTGCAGTACCAGAAGACAACAAAGCCGCGTACCTTCTAATCTACATGGGTCCAGATGCATATGATATTCTTTGTGATAAGATTTCGCCGGAAAAATCAGACGAGAAATCATATGATGAACTGGTAAATACAAACTACATTACAATGGAAACTACATTACAACCCTGAACCGTTGGAAATGGTGGAAAGTTTCAGATTTTCACAAAGAAAACAACATGAAGGGGAAAGTGCCAATGAATATATTACAGATTTACGTAGATTAGCTACAACTTGCAAATTTGGTGACTATTTAAACAAAGCCCTGAGGAATCAATTCGTATTTGGTCTTCGAAACCAAAATATTCAAAGCAGACTCCTAGAATACAAGGACAAGGATCTTACAATGGAAAAAGCATTAGAAGTTGCCATCAGCAAGGAGACATCAACCCGAGATGCAGCTCGATTACAGAAGTCAAATACAAGTGCTAATATAAATAAAGTTTTCTAGTGTCAAGAATAAACAAGGACACATACAACCTACAAATGTGAAAAAGAAATGATATTCATCATAACCAAACTAAAAATATATTTTGTTTTAGATGCGGATCTTCACAACATATTGCGGATCAAATACATTTAGTCTGTAGCAAATGTAAACGAGGAGGCCATCTGAGCAAAGTATGAATGAAAAGTAAAAGTTCGAATCAGGTAGATCAAGTGGAAGAAATTTTCAACATTCATTCAGATCATTCATACTCCAGGAAAAAATTTACAATTTCATAGGCTAGGTAAGCCTATCCTTTGAAATAGATTCAATCAGAATTTTTTGTAGGTACAAATGCCTCCTGTGAAATGGAAAATGTTTACTTAATCCTGAAGAAGCTAAGATAACTACAATAGAGTATGTTCGCCTTGGGATGCCAGTAGCCTCTGTAGCAAAAAGACATCAATTCCCAGAGTAATTCTTCAAACTATAGAAGAATGGGGCCAACGACTATTCTGACATCCGATTAAGAAAAATTTCCAAAATTTCCAGAAACAAAAAGACAGCTGCTGAATAGTGTACAAATTCTAATAAAACGAATGAAAAGAGACTCCATTTGTTGCTGACCGCCCTGATGGTGCATGGTATGAAAGTTTTTTGAGAAGACATCCTTGTCTAAAAGAACGAGTAGCAGAAAATATAACAGCTTTCAGAGCATTAGTAATTAAACACGGCATAATAAATTGGTTAGTTAAAACAAATTTTCTGTCAAACAAAGATCAACTTCAGATACTACAAAATCCTTCACGCGTGTTCAATGCAGATGAGACCGCATTATTTCTGAACCCAAAAGGAGAAAAGGTACTGGTTCGTAAAGGTGAAAAAAATGATGAAAATGAATGCATGCCTGTTGAATGCTGAACACATGTTGAACACTGATGAACTAACCGTGCTAAATTAAACAATAGAATATTGGCTATAATAAAAACTTTTACCTTGAATCCAAGTTCACCAGGATTTTCTGGGTCAAAGTCGTAAAGTGCAGTACAACATGGTTGCCTAGTCATCGGAGTCCTAGCTGGAGACTTCATTGGGGACGGCAATGGTGATGCTAAAATTATATAATTATAAAAACAATAACGACAATTAACTTATATAAATATAATAAAACGTTTCCTAAGAAAACGCACCATCTTGCTACACTGTAAATGTGGGAAATAATTTCAAAATGCTCATGTGCAATTACACATAAATAAAAAGCAAAAGCATTCAGCAATTTCCTATAACTAAAAATGTTAGTAATATTATAGCAAATAAGCCACTTCATATTAAAATACTTTTCTAATCATTTACATCATTTTTAAAATATTAAAAATTTCGTTCAAGAGATTTTGAACAATATTACCTAATATAATTCAACAATATAATCTTATATCCTATAATCACTATACATTTGTTAATTTTTTCAACACTTTGAGTGCCACCATACACACAAAGAGGTCCTATAGGCCGTTGTATTTTGGTGCAATAAATGGTGAGACCACACTGTGGCTTTATGCGGCTCTATGATCCCATAAAAGCGCGAGACCATGTTGGTGTCATATGGCACTCAACTTGTTAAATATAAAGAAAATGGTTGAATGAAATTAAAAAAAAAGATCAAATTGATTTTTCTTCTTAAAGTTACATCTATCGAAGGTTGGATATCATAACGGCTATGGTCACTTTGTTGGCTGCTGCTCTGAAAACTTGTAGTGAACTACAGTTAAACCATTCTCTAAGGTTCCTCAGCCAGGAGATGCGTCTTCTTCCTAAATGCTTCTTCTTCGTTGGATCCTTCCTTGCATAATAATTCTCAGCAGCTCATATTTTTCTCCTCTGGTTATGTGACCCAAATACTCTAGTTTTCTTCTTTTTATGCTGTTCATAATTTCTAACTCCTTATTTAGACGTCGTAGTACCTCAGCATTGGTAATCCTTTGAACCCACTGAATTTTTAACATTCTTCTGTAACACCACATTTCGAACGCTTCTATTTTTCTTATGTGTTGTTTCTTCAATGTCCAAGCTTCCATTCCGTATAGTAAGATAGAAAATATATAACATCTTAGAGCCCTCAATCTGAGATGCAACTGAAGGTCTCTGTTGGTAAGCATTGTCTTCATTTTCACAAATGCTTGCCTTGCAGTTTCAATTCGGACTTTGATTTCTCTGCTTTGGTCATTTTTGTCATCAACCCAGGTTCCCAGATATTTGTATGTCTCTACTTTTTCTATTTGGGTTTGCTCTATCATTAATCTTTCATTTCCATGTTGCGTTTTTGAGACAATCATAAATTTAGTTTTTCTCTTATTTATTTTTAGTCCGTATCTAATGCAATAATCGTTAATTCTATTTACCAATTCTTGTAGCGATTCCAGGGTGTCTGCCATTATAACGGTGTCATCAGCGAATCTTATGTTATTTACTATTCTTCCGTTTACAGAGATTCCATCACCCAGATCCGCTATCGCTTCACGGAATATGGCTTCACTGTACACGTTAAACAATAATGGTGACAGAACACAGCCCTGTCTTACTTCTCTCTTTATATCTATATTTTCGGACTTTTGTTCTTCTATCTTTATATGGCCTTTTGATTCCAATACAGATTGATAATGATTCGTAAGTCTCGTCTGTCTATATCTTTGTTTCTCAGTATTTCTATTAGTTTTTCATGTCGGACCCTGTCGAATGCCTTCTCGAAGTCGATGAAACAGGAATAAATATCTAGGTTCATATCTAAGCATCTTTGAGAGAGGACATTAAAAGCAAACAATGCCTCTCTCGTTCCCAGTCCCTTGCGGAACCCAAACTGAGTATCATCCATATCCTCTTCTAGTTTTCTATATAATCTTCCATGAATCACCTTTAGAAATATTTTGAGGGTATGGCTTATTAGTGATATTGTCCTATAGTCTGAACAATCTTTGGCATATACTGTTTTTGGTATTGCTACTTAGGTCCAGAAATACCGGTAGAGTTTCATCGTCTAGACATTTCAGTAGTTCCACAGGTATTTCGTCTGGACCTACAGTTTTTCCACAAAATATAACAATAGGAGAATGCAACATTGAGGCAAAACTTTATATACTTGGGATCCCTAGTCACGTCTGATAATAACGTTGCGGAGAAAGTGAAGAGGCGAATATTTATTGCCAATAAATGTTACCATGGCTTAATTAGACAACTAAGATCAGATAACGTCGCAAGAAAAACAAAATGCCAAATATACAAAACCTTAATAAGACCGGTAATCACATACGGCTCAGAAACCTGGACACTCACTAAAAGAGAGGAAACGTTGTTAGCCGCCTTTGAAAGAAAAATCTTGCGACACATATATAAGGGCACAAAAGAAAACGGAATTTGGCGAAGAAGATACAACTTTGAACTATACAAAATATACCAGGATCCGGATATTATAACATTCATTAAAATAGGACGGCTGCGTTGGATAGGACATGTAGAAAGAATGAAAGAAGGCGAAATACCAAACAAAATATTCAAACAGATGCCAGTAGGAAAAAGAACAAGAGAAAGACCGAAGCTGGGATACTTAGAACAAATAGAAAATGATATAACAACCTTAAAAATAAAAAACTGGAGAAAAAAAGCACGAAACAGATCAGAATGGAGAAGAATCCTGGAACAGGCCAAGACCCAAAAAGGGTTGTCGAGCCAGTGATGATGATGATGATGACAAATTAACAAGAAATGTATGCTTTCACGGCGGGCGTTTTGTAATCATACATTGTTTTTCGGGCTTATAGGCCGTCCCCTGGAATTACTTCTTCTTGGGTTTCGTCTATCCATGCAACAACGGTCGGAGTAACTATTGGCTTTCATCGTTGTAGCATCGCCTTCATAATCTCTGCTGCACTCGCAGACAAAAGAATTTTTTCGCATTCGCACAATTTATTATATAACTTAATGTTTGAGGTTAAAAATATATGAGACTAAGTATTAAATGTGATCCAAGTTTTTAGGAAAAAAATTGTAAATCGTAGTAATAAATCATTCGCTTAAATCATTCGTTAAAATCACGTTATAAAAATAACACCTTTCATCTTGACCTTACAGTTCACTGTCAGACTGTAAGGTTAGCGTATTAAAATATACATCTAGTAAAATATATTTTTATTTTCATATTGTTTTGGTTTATAAAAATAGAAATTGTCTCAATGCAATGACAACATCGTTTTTTAAGTGTAAACATACAGACTGGGTCAAATTTTGTTGAATATTGTGGGAATACATTTTGACTGTTGGTACATCATATACCAATATTACATTGAAATGTTCATATGTCAGCATTTACTTCATCCCTTTACTAAGATTTTATTGACACCCCTACCTTTAGTGAAAAATTAACTGACAAAGTATATTGATCGAGTTCTAGGAAAATCTATATACGCTGGCTGAGGTTTAAATAGAGATCAGAAATGATTGGGACACAATAACAATAATATATATCTAGATAAAATATTTCAGCAAATGAACTATAAGCACGATTATCTGATCGAAAAAAAAAACTTGTACTGTACAAGTTGTAGAAAATTAAATTCCTCTAAACACCATCAACCGGAAGGATAATCTAAATAGCATGATATTGAGATCGATTGATAAATTGGTAAATAATAAGCATAAATGTACCGGTGGTCCACTAGGCCGATCTCTCGGCTATATAATCAGAAACTATTCATGTTATAACTTTGGGAGAAAAAATTCCTTGGTAAAAGTGGCCAAGAGAAATCGCTGGAAATAACTTTCAAGATTCTGGATTAACCGCTAGGGGGCGTAACCTGCGAAGAAAATTTTGAAAACCAGTTTTTTGGGAAATATGTCCAATTATACCAAGTGTTAAATAAGTAAACTAGAAAGAGGCATAAATTCTGCACAAAGTTGTTCAAGTACTTTTTTTTTATTTTTTCAAATAAAGGGTGGGGGAGAGTGGGAAAGTATTTGTGGATAAATACCTATAACTTTGGTTTGGATCAACCGATTTTAATGAAATTAGTGTCATTAGAAAGAGTGTGGATGAATTAATTCACATCTACTATAAAATACTTGCATTTAGTTTTCATAGTCGTAGGTAGAGGGGACTTTCAAATAAAAAAAATTAAAATTTGTTTTTCTTCAAAATTTTTAATAGAAACACCTATTTATTGTAAATTATAATGGAACTGGATTAAATTCGTAACAAAATGGAGCAAACCGCATGTTAATAGCTTTTGTTGAACTCGAGATATGAATAAAAACTCATAAACATAAGTAAGTATAGTATTGACACACCCTGTATTATAAATTACATTAAAAAATAAGTCAGTAGGTATTTTCAAATTTTTTTTATAGCAGAAGAATCTTAATGTTGATACCTATTTTGTAAAAAATAGTTTTTTTCGAAACTAAGTAGGCTACGACAATGAATTTGACGGGGAGTTCATATTGTTTATTTATTGACAGCAGTCAAAACATTGTTAAGAAGTGCTATATTATAATTCGAATTAAAGATTGCACTTTTTTCAATAGATATTAATATTGGTAATATTAGTAATTAATTATCAGTACAAATAATTCGTGATGAGTATATCAAATTGTATGATATGATTGGAGTTTATTTCGAATGTCACCAAAATGCCGCTATTGCCTCACGTATATATTTTGTAAGATATCCTGACAGGAGACATTATGGCAAAAAAGTATTTGAAAGAAAGGCAAAAAGATTAAGAGAAACTGGTAGTTTTTCTCGTCCTTGTTTTAAACGACGTAGTAGAGTTATGACCGAAGATAATTCAATCAATGTTCTTGCTTTAATTCAACAGAATCCACATATAAGTAGTCCGAAATCTCTACTTCTTTGCCACAATATCTCCTGCCAGGATATCTTACAGAATATATACGTGAGGCAATAGCGCCATTTTGGTGATATTCGAAATAAACTCCAATCATATCATACAATTTGATATACTCATCACGAATTATTAGTACTGATAATTAATTACTAATATTACCAATATTAATATCTATTGAAAAAAAATGCAATTTTCAATTCGAATTATAATACATATA